TGGAAGGTGAACACCCCATAACATCATGTGCCGTCGTGTGGCACAGTAAATATCCCTCTCCAGCCACGGTATTGGCCAAGTAATCTGCATATAAATATTGTTCCTGTATTTACGTGAAAACATTGCGTGCTTAGCTTCTGTTAATTGTAAAGCAATTATGGAAATACACACATATAGATGAAAAGTCTCTGGCGATGCCATCGTGCGGGCCTTTCCTCCGTACTAATGGGTGCACGTGGGTAGGACGCTGAGAGGCAGTCGGAAGGCGATGAGAACATGTGAGTGCAATTTGGATATTTATTTTCAGTGACGGGAATTCCTCAGCTCTAATCCTCCCACATTCTCAAAATCATGACCCCCGGCGTGGTAGCATATGGGTGGGATAAGTGTAAGGAGTAGGTCTTGTGCGCTGTGCCAGGAGGGTTAGGAGGAATGTCACGGAGGGATTGTTGGCATATTTTCCGCACGGGGTAGACAATGCCCGGGCCAAGAGATGGGCGAAGGTGGAGGGACGGTTCAAAAAGGTTGATTCTCTTCCTATTCTCATGTGCATTGGCGTCCAAAATGGATGAAGGACGATTTGTGGAGGAGTTCTTCCCCGCACAAGACACGGACCAACAAAAAGATGACTCGGGAGGTGGAGTGAACAATAAATTTCCGAAACAATTACTTCATTTTCCCCAACTGTGATATATACAGTGGGAGTCCGGAGGCGAGGGCTCCATTGGTCTACTCGACAAAAGTAGGACTTCATTATTGAAATTCCAAGAGGGTAGGACCGACATTAACAATTTGCTTAATTGCTACTTTTCTCCCACCACTAATGCCAAAAGTCATCTCATACTTTAAGCAACAGCACAGCAAAAATCATGTAGTACCAAATTGAAAACCACAATTTCGTATATTTGGCAATTTCCATGGCCTCTCGGGCCCATCCCGACTAAATATTACATAAGATGGCCCCTGAAATTCTCAAACAATTAGTTAAAATTGAATTTTATACTATGGCTACTCGCTACTCTATTATTTTCAGCTCAAATGTTGGCTCCTTCTGCCAAAACACAATTAGCCCCTAACACAGTGCACTTCTCTCCAGTGACTACCCTAAACATATCTAACTCGGGGGCTACCGAACTTGGAGTGAAGTGTGGTGATGTGGAAGCATCAAAATTTTCATGTCCTTTGTGTATAAATAAATTGGTGAGTCCCGTGCTAGTAACAACGGCGTAACATCACCAACCTGCCCATAACAAAGGGACCCTCTAAATACGGCACATTCTCACACACACCCTCCTATATGGTCCGCCGCCACCAAGGCTGGGCCCCCAACGCCGTACATGGTTGAGGAGGGTGGTGTTTACCCAATTTCAAATTCAAATTGTTTAATTTTGTTTTGAATACCGAATCAAATTGTGTGGAAATTTTGATTTTCGAGCACAATTTATTCGCTTCACCTTTATTGTGTTACGGCACTCAACTGCTCGAGGGTGCCTTTTCTAATATTGTTTGTACACACACATAGGCCGTGACATAGGCTGCACACACAACAAGGAGGGAAAAAAGGCGAAACGGAGAGGCGAGAAAAAAGCGCCTATAGACTTCTTCGTTAATTTATTGTGATATAGGGCTTCCACCCCTGCCATAACACACCGAAATACTTCATTCGCCACACCAGAGTCGGAAAAGTGGCAATTGTAATTATATCTATGAACTAGGATAATGTATTCATGTCATTGTTACGTGATCAGAAAATGAACCTCATGCTTACAGGACGATAATCACTTTTATATCAAATGCTGGCCACGTTTATGGATGCGGTGAGCTTTGCAATCTTGGTTTAGTAAATGGCACCGGGGCTTCCTCTTGCCCAATTCTGAAGAGATTTATGAGATCAACCAGAGACATAATCTTCTTGTTTCGCAAGGTCCGACACGCTACGCCACCGCAATCGATGGATGGTTAATTGATAATTTTCCTAAATTTGTTCTCCGCCTCAACTGAGTCAATCATCGAATGTGCGAAGGTATTTATCCAGACTCTGAGGCACTCGCATCATTTAATCCCGGCATTCCAGAGCCATTGATAAATAGTTTTCAAGCCAAAGAATTTACTATCATCATTCTTCACAGAAGCCATTTACAGTCAATTAAGCAATGCTTGTATTGCAATTCATACTAAATCACGCCACTAGTCAACGCTATTTGCAATTTTCAGTCCTAGTCTAATGACCCAAAGTATAATTTCTCTTCAACGACGACTTGTATTTGGGGATCATTTCAAATGCCAAAGTATAGTGAAAAGTCACAAATTGTGAATTTACCCTTCTTTTTTGGAAATGTGAGTTAATGATTTAATAGCATATCCAATTCTGCCAGTCCAGAAATGTAAAAAGTACCTAATGGACCATAATTCGAATCGAATCTCACTTAAAAACGATGGAACTGTCATTATTATTGAGTGTGAATTTCTCGTGATAGCTGCCAATCATGTCACTTATTAAAAATCTTTGAAAGTTAGTGCAATCCTAGATAATTACGTGATCCAAAAAGGTAAAGCACTTGCAAAAATAGACTTTATATAATTCAAAAAGCAAAACCATTCGCGGAGAATTCCATTTTAAATATTAATTAATCGCAAAAAATCTATTTACCTGTAGTTTTGATCATTTGTATAATTTTGTGTTTTTTTCGCAATATAATATAAAATAACAAATTGCGGTAGCTATGAGCCAACTCTGGAAGACTTAAGTTTTTCATTGGAAAACAAGTTTGCCACCCGCAATGAAAGAAATTGAAGAAATATAATGAAAAGCATGAATTCCATTATGTTGAGAATATGAGAATAGCTTATTTTCTGCTTATTCTCTGCGACCAAACTATCTTCAATTTATTGCAAGCGTACTTTTTGATAATCAAATTTCATTGCGCGAGTTCTGCACTATGCAGATTTTGCATAATTGAGCGAAAAACTTTGGCAATTTACTCAATTGAGCACACATGATCTTGCAATGCTCTGCGGAGTTGTGGCTTAGCAAATGTGTTCCGCCATAATGTTAACGAAGACGCGGATCTTGGGTTTAATGCTTCCGCGGAATGTGGAAACACAGTGAAATGGGAGACTTCATCAAAATAATGAAACAAGCCGATAACCACCTCTCAAAGTTCAGTAGTCACACCCAGAAAGGCTGTTTCACGAAGAAGCCAATACATGTGGAAAAGAAAAAGAGCCCTCCGTCTTGCTAGCATCCGATGGCATAGAATAGAAAAGCGGGTGAAAGAAAAGAAAGAGAGGAGAGGAAAAAGAGTAGGAATATAATGTACACAACAGTCATGTTTCATTCTAGAATACCACGCAAATTAAATAAATTTCTGGAAACATAAATCTTATTGATTTCGAACACGAACCCAAAATAGAGAGGAAAAAATATGTGAATCGCGCGCGTACCCAACTTTGATCAATAATACGCTATTCTCTGCCAACTAGGAGGTCAGAAAAGTTAGCAAGGATGCCTTCATTTTCGTGAATTATGTACTCCTTGAGAAGAATAATTCCGGTGTTGGAACAATCAATCACTGTAAAAGCTTTTTTTCGCCGACTCCCGGCAATTCCACACACCGAATTTTTATTCCTCCCATGAATAAAATAAAAATGTTAACGCAATCTGTCAGCTTTTGATTCGCCCACTGTTTTATTCTTCATACTTCTTCTTCACCCTTCATAATTATCATCAATTACTGCGCGGCTCTGTTTGAGAAGTCTGGAAGTACATATTGTGACTTTTGTATCATGCGCTGTCAATAAATATTTTAGTGACCAAATTCCACCAGACCGACACACGCTTTCAATAAAGTCCCATGAATGTCGATGAACATTGTTTTTATGCGCTTTCAATCATCATCTGAGATTTTCATCAATTGCCCAAGAGATATTACTAAAAAATTACGATAATTTATAATTTGACGACTAATGTGAGACGGAATAGAAGACAAATTGGTGCTATTCTGTAGGCGTGAAATCGGAATTCTCGGTTAATACTACATATTTCAGCGTTACAGTAACGAACAAAATGTTCATTTCATGCCATTTCAGAATGTCTTTAATTAATTTGACGCTTGAAGCAATTAAAAATGTGGAAATGTGGAATGTAGAAAACTCTCAATTCTTATTGAAAATCTCTAGTCAGTTATAATGAGTGTGGAAACTGCAGAATCACACTGGGTAACTTAATTCCTCCAGTTCCAAAGTGATAACACTGATGGACGCTACTCTTAACGACTTTGTATTCCCCAGATTCTTTCTCGGTTAAGACACTCCCTCTTGTTACTTTCCTCAAACTTTTCGCCACTAATTCTGAGACTCCGAACTAAGATTGCACTAATATATCTAGCCACAATTAAATTAATTTGGGCGCTTTGCTTACTCTGTATCCTCGCCTATCGTGGAGAAGCACCACATCGCAATTTAATTGAAATACCATCTGATTAACTTGGCTCAATAGTGTAGGTGAGTGAGGAATCTCACAGTGGCGACGCAGATTTCATTTTCCCTCCAAAACTGGAGAGTTGCCGCGTTTGAAATTCAGAGAAGGTGAGATTATACAAGAGCGCTGATGAGGCAAATGATGGTCACCTTTGTTCCTCAGACACTTTTTTGCCCACAAAAAGAGTCCAAAGAGTCGTCTTTTTAATGGCGAATTGATGGTACACACAAGATATCAGTTTCTAAAAAAGTTATCAGTCCATTTCACAGCAATTAAAAGAGCAGCTCCACCACTTCCACTCGCTCTCTATTTCCCTTCTTATACATAAAAGAGCTGGAAATATCAAATTACGAGAACCACCCGTGAACGTCATTTGCGAGGGAGCGGAAAAGATGGGTATATATTTGTCAGAATTGAGGAAAATTTCCCCGGTGACTTCGGTAAAAGTGTTGCAAAATGAAATCTTTATAAAACATACATTGTGGTTGGGTATATTTCTTTAAAAAAAAAATGAACATACTTTTTTACGAGGCCGTTCGCTGTGAAAATCCACTCAATGCGGAGAAAATGTGCCACAATTTCTGTGCGGATGTATGATGAATGCACATTAATCCTCTAAAATCCGGATACGAACAAGTGCAGTCCGGACGTAAAAATCATAAATTAAAATTGCACCGCACAAAAAAGAAAACAATATATATCTACCACATTCCTCAGCCACTGAGGTTAAATGTGTACACACAATTATTCCACTCCACCTGATAAAATCTCGTGGATAATATTATCCTCGGCACCACTTCTCACATGCAATTCAGTCCCACATTGGGGGTTAGGTTAGGGAAATTAAAAGTAAACTAATTTCTTTCGCGCTGGGCTTCGCCTTTACACGGAAGATATTCACGGGCTCTCGACACGGACACACGCAAGACGGCCTGAGATGAGCGTCTTCCAGAGATTTCGTCTCAACGTGCCGAAGATCGCGAACACACTGAACGCCGAGAAGCACTTCCAATGAGAGGCAACTCCGACAAATATTCAAATAGTTGTGCTACATGTGAAACTCGGAATACGCGCACAACCAGATAATGTCAAACTTCTCCTCCGAATATATACAAATCGGACTTGGTGAGTTGGAGAGTTAACAGTGTATGGCGGAAGATAAATTTTACCTCTGTGTACAATCAAGGAGGAGAACCAACAGGCGGGGGTTCTGCCTCCCGAATATCTCACTAATCCTCGAACACTTGAGGGGTAGTGAATTCATATTCACCAACGATTCGGGGGTGGGTTCAGTATATAACCGCTGCGCAGGTCCGTCACAGCATTCACCATCGTTTCCCCGCCGAGAGTTGGGTGGAAGGTGAATTTGGCGACGACAGAAGCCCTTGTGCTAGGCCACACACACTTGATACAATTATGAGTTGCAGGTTTGTGAATGAGTGAAATCTCCACCGACATGAGTATCGTCAAGAATTCACTGACCATGTGCGATGCTGTGAGAGATGTCAGGAGGACTTAAGACGAAATGACTCGCTCAAGTGTTCCAACCACAAGCAAGAGTAATGCAGACCCACACGAGAGCCACGTTTAAAATAGTGAAGAGGTGAAGTTTTTCGTCAAATGCTCGCAAATCAAAGCAAAATCACTTCACGATTTGTACCTACAAATGGTAAAAAATTTCAATTTCCAACCAAAATACAAATCTCTACGCAATCCGTAAAGTTAATGACTTTACGCTATAGCTCTATCTGACTTTGCACAAAATCGAGTTTCGAGGCAGAAACACAGAAAAACTTACCTAATTTCTTTTTCACTCTCAGACTCCACAACTCCCATGAATATTCAATTTACATACATGCATAACACAAACTGAGTATTACCATTTCTTCTCTCTATCAGCATTTTAGTGAAATGGGAAAAAGATATCAGGCTAAAAACTAGTAAGTTAATTAGATAGATTTATACCAAGCCAATCAATTGAACGCCACCGACCAAATATGCAAACGAGAGCTTCTCTCCCAGTGATTATCCAGGCGATATCGACATTTGCTTGCGAGAACCAATTAAAAGATAATTACCAATTAATATAGGTTTTCCAGAAAGTCATAAATTATTCTTTTCATCGGGAAAAATGAAGAATGCCAACACCACCCGTATCTTGACATTCTTATTGATGAATTCTTAATTAATATCATAGGTACTACACCAAAATAATACTGTGAATGAAATGTTTTTTGCATTTAGGTACTGAATGGATTACGATTTCCAAGAATTTTTCTTCTTCATAATTCCACGAAATTATTATTTGTATAAAATTGGGGCACAAAGCGTCCGACAAAGCGGATTTTTCACGTAAAAAATTGATTCATACAAAAAGCTGTACATAAAATCTTTGTCTGATTAATTTTAACGCATGTTCCTTGAATTTGGATTAACGCACATCACCATTGAATTCGAAATATTTAATCAGACAATACCAAAATTTACTTTTAACACCATAGCTTGAATAATGCAGCGAATTTGTGAAATATCTCAGGCATGTTTGGTATATTTTAAAGAATTTCTTTAGGTGAAATGATTGTAAATGAATTTGACAGGAGATGCACATAAAAGAAAGACAACAAAATATGTCATTTTACTAGTTTCATAGTGTGACAAATCAAGTCTTTAATTTATTGCACAATATTTAGTAACAACACTAAAATTCTTTCAACTCCAAGTCAATACAACGCATTTTATTTCACAAATTTAACAATCCGCAGAGAGAACACACTTAAAATACAACGAATTACATATTCCCGAGGTAAATATCTAATTTATATTGGCTTTCTGTTCACCTCAACTTCGTCAATTCACCTGTGGTGTCACGAACTTTTGCCCTATGTGGCACAAACAGAGAAATTAATGCCTCATACCACAGAAATCTCTAGAAGTACGCATCATTTGCGCACGTAAAATACACGAGAGCGAATATAATTGATCTGTGAACCTGAAAAACCAATATTCATGAAATTCGAAACTCATTAACGCACTTTATGATGGTATTTCGTCCCAAACAGCCTTTATAGCAGCGATAAAATATCTGCCCATTAAAGTTTTGTCTGCTCGTATAACAATGTACTTTTCGGATTTCTTTAAGGGTTGATGACATGAACTCGTTCGCGTAATAAATAAAATATTTGGGGTGATGGAAGTTTTTAAAAATATACCGCAAAAATTCTCAGTCACCTTTACGATTGAAATTCGTGGAAAAACGCATAAATAGAAATGTGGAAACATCATAGTACATTTCAGTGAATCTAAATTTAATTACTGTTTACAGTTGCGCATAGATTTTCCGTCAATACTTCCGTATTAATATTCTATACTTATATATAACAAACATATGTAGGCGTGAAGAAATTATATAATAATCATGTAATAGATAAAGTTCAAATGCGATTAATTAACCCTCGTGATTCTCGGAATTCTACAGGAAGGTAATTAGGACAGTAAATTATTTATTTATCGAGAGGTCATCACAAGCAGACAATTATGTCTTTATGCTGAAGAAAAAACGGCAGGATTTAAGGATAAAGTGTGCATCATCTGGTGTAAAATATCTGAATTATTGCACACTCCTCCTCGTTATGGAGGTCACAAAGGGAGTTGATGTAAAGGTGTCCCAGATAATTTTACACTTTACCACCAAAATGCCTCAAGTTTGCCAGAGGAAATAGACGACAAATGGTAGTTGAGCCGTAAAAGTGAATTTGAGGCACATTAAATAAAAGGAGATATAAATTTCCCATGAAACTTGCTCAAGTTCTTTGAAGATATGTGTTCGCCGGAAGTAACGAAAAATCCACTTGGTCCTTATTGTTGGGGAAAATAAATTCGGGAAATAGCAGATCATGTAGTGTTGTGAAAATTTTATATCCTCCTTGTTCCGTCACTTTGCCCTTTTTTGGCGAATTGCAAATCGATGACAACTTTCTTCATGTTTTCGGGGGCATTACAAAAGACACCATCTAGCCAATGTATTTTTGATGATATCTGTAACACCAACTGTTTTGGCATTTTCACTTAACTCCCTGCAGAATATGGTCGGCATCTCGTACGAACGGGGATGGTCGCTCAGCATCGCAGGGAGAATGATGTTTGTGTGCCTTCGGAATATTTATTGTGATATAATAGCCTTTTGATAACCGGATGTTCTTCTCTGAGAGATCAAAAAATATTTTATTTATGTCGTCAATGTAGATATGTAACACTATTCATGTCATTCGATACGTGCTGCTCTGTGTTTTAATTTTTACGGTGCCCTTAATGCTTGTTATATTTCAGTTTGATGTCAAAGCATAGACGAGAATGTTCCAACTACAGGCCTTGTTTACTTGCAATACAAAAATTATGCAAGCTCTTTCCGTTTGGACAATACAACATTTTACGGATCACGGTGGATTACTATCAAGGGAGATATGTGTTAACAAATGTTTCTTTGACTAGATACTAAAGAATGTGATCCGACGTAAGCTTGATTGATACTGTGCGGTAAAATCTCTTGTTCCCCAAAGAATTGCTCCGGGAGAAAATGGCACCGTTGGAGACTTTCATATCATCAAAGAGTGAAGATGAGAGAATAATTCGCATCACATCCGAAGCATGAACTGTAATAATAGACCAATACTTTAACGAGACAATTTACATGTAAAAATTAGTACCTATTGCTTATTGCGTTCAGGTAATTTCTTTAAAAGTTGATAGAAGCTTTAGTAAACGATTTCCAGTATTTGTTTAAGAAATACTGCCAGAATAGAGAATACGCTGCACAAATCTATGTACCTACAAAATAAAAGTGATTTCTATTTATCTGTCGCACCAATAAATTTTTCTCCATTCTCTACAGAACACTGCATTCCCGTGAAAACTGGAGTTTCAATATTTTATCGATTTTATCATAGGGTGGCCACGTGAAGATTTATGCAATTGATCTGTACTTTTGCATGAGCAATATTAAGTAGAAATTCCATGGAATAATATTATCCAATGATTAATGCTGCAATATTTTATTTAGGAAGACGTTATGAAAATAACCGTCGCGGAAGCGTGTTTGTGTGAGTGTGCAATCTCGAACACCATGACCAAAAGCTATTCACATACTATATAATAATATTTTGTGCCGTCGCAAGGTGTCTTCTTTTGTGATTCACTGTATTATTTTGGCGTATTCAGCGTTATCATAGGATATCAACATGCATGAGCAACTTGATGACCATGAAGATTTTACAGCCACCTCTAAAATCAAGAAAATGCCAGAGGTAATGTTTTCACTTTTGGCATCACCTGAGTGGAAAATCGTGAAATCTGCCAAAACATTTATGAATGTTCTGGAAAATTTATGCCCAACCGTATATTACACAATCCTTCAATTCTGCCAAGTCCAATTTTTACGATTACCTCATTGTGTATTGCGATAAAATGCTTTAATATCATGCTTTATACGCCTTTCATGAGGACATTCACGAGTGTCTGAGCGCTTTAAAATTCTCGTTTGGCGCTAGTTACAGCGTAATTTGTCATTTTAAGGAAGTACAAGCATGTTTTATGCAACAGGGTCTTATGAGCATGTGAAATTCACGTATGTGACTCCCATTCTGCTTCTATGCATTTTCGGATTTCATGGCATTTCTACCAGAAATACTTCTTCCCATAGTGAGAAATGGATCTATGATATTTGCAATGAATATTTGCAACATGATTTTCCTAATATTTCACTCTATAGAGAGTGCTTAAATTATATCTCAAAATTATTCCTCTCTCGCTTTACTACCCTATTTCACCCATCCGCTGAATTTCAAGCTCAATTTTACTGCATTAAGGTGGACTAAAAAATGAGTGACATGAAATATCTCTTGAGGGAAGACTTTTTTGCTAAAGAAAATTTCATCATGTTGCTCATAACGTAAAATTGTGGGGTAAGAATTTC